ATTTTGTAAGACAATAGTTCAAGAAGAGTAACAGGTAATGGGGAGATATTCTGTTTTGCTGGATATGGTTGTTTCTAGATACTATGGATTATTGAACACAAATCCCTGTTCTTATGATTTGTTGGTCAGAGAGACCTCAGAGGCTCCCCAAATTATACAGACCCTTGCCATTTTTCTTGTCCAGCAGAGCTTATTGGTAAGACCTTATTGCTGAAGACATTACAAACCTTGGCTGCAAGATATATAGAGAAATAATGCTGAAACCAGACTGGGAGCTTCATCTTTACTTGGTGGCTTTCATTGTGATGGAAGATGCTGCACAGCCTGATAGGGAAGGAAAATGCACCAGGGGTCTTACCCAAGTACAAACACTACATGCCCAGGAGTTAGAACTACAACACCAACTCCCAGGCAAGATGTACCCACTGCTGAGAGAGTGGCACATCTCTTATGGGAGTAACTAACAACTCTTTGTATCTGAAGACTGTTCAAAAGAAGGAATCCAAACCTGGTATTATAAGCCTGGTCAAAAGTCCATGGCCAATGGAAGTAATAGGTTCTAGAGCAGGAACTTGTTATGGTTTTGTTAAACTGACATTGTATCAAACTCTTTTCTAATGTATAAATGCATTACTTATTTTACTTATTAAAGCAATTTGTCTCAAACTTTTTATTGTTTTGGAATTATTTCAGCAAAACAAGGTTATTCACTCAAATATGCAAAACAAATTAAGTTGTTCTCACTGGAGTTTTCTTTGCAGAATTTTCATGATAGCAAGTACTTCTCAGTCAAAATCAGAATTCCCAAGATGCAGCACACATTAGAAACATAAACTCCCTAAAGGAAGAAAATGATGTAACTTCTGGGAATTTCATGTAGGTGAAGAACGATTTGTTCCAGAAATAAGTCGTACTTGTTCTTTGAAAAGAAAAGCAAGAATAAATAAGAATTAAGTCCTAGAAGGCCTGGCTTCTTCTCTGTGCAGAGGCACAGTCAGGACCAAGGATGGCTGCATTTTGAGAGGAAACCCAGTTTATGTTCTATTTTAAGTTTAATTATTTTTGTCACCTCCAAAGAAGAAAGAAACACATTTGAATGTAAGTTTTGGTTACCTTCAAAATTCAGTTTTGTCTCTTTGTTTATTCTTTAAGAAGTCTGAAGTGAATTAAATGGATTTGTAAGAAACAAAAAAAAATAAAAAAATTTCAAATGTGGTGTAGAGAGACATAATTTATCTGATCACAACTATACTAAAATTTAGTGAGAAGTTACTCTGAACTGAAAAAGAACAAGGAAGTTATGTTAAAATTAAATCAGTCTTCATGTACACAAAATTGATACCTATTTAGGTCACACAGGATGGGCAAGGAAAGTTCCCAGGCCTCTCATTGTGTGTTTTGTCATCTGTATAGTTTTTCTAGGCTACTTTGTACATAGAGATGATCTCCTGTTGAAGATCGCAAGAGAGCTACACATGGCAGCATAATTTTTAGCCAAACTTTACCCCCAAGCATCATTTCTTTGTGATTTTCCCCATTTCTTTGGATTTAGCAATCACTTTACTATCAGATGTACTGTTAAGCTTTGGACATTTTGGATTCTACAAAAACGTGTAGGCTTGAGTAGGGATATTGAGTGATTTCAGGTTCCCGATAGGCAAGTCTTAACGCAGAAAGACCAGATACACTAAGTCCCATCATGATGATAAAAATCTCCTAATGCTTTTAGGAAACATCTTCCCTGGGGTTTTAGACACATCCCTTTGCACAGTTAAAGCTGTGAAAGTTTGTTCTGTACAGTGATGATGAACCTGACGTAGGCGGGATCAAATGCACTGATCCTCAAAAGGAGCTTGGGGGTAGCAGACCTGTGAACACTGACCAGTTCTTGTCATTGTCCCACATTCTTCGAAACCTCAGATTTACTGTGTCATGAGAATAGTCTCACCTACTCATTCCCACCCAGGGTGTAAAGTGACTTTGAACCTTGAACCATTTCTACAGTCTTTAACTACACATCTTGGAGATCCAATTTCTTAAAAAATGAGGTGTGACTGAGCGTTCTCTTAGCTTCTCAGAAATTTTGAAAATCTAGGGCTCTGAATTTATAGCTTAGAGAGTTTTTGCCTCCTACAGTCCGCACATTTCTTTCCTCACTTGCTTTTGTCTCGTGCTGATGGTAGCTACTTTTTCCATTGGCCATTGATATCCTTTATGGAGCTTTAGAACATTATCATCTGCAATTTGATTTTAGATTATTTTTAATTATAAAGACCACATGTATATACTTCCTCTTTGTTTTAAAATCTTAAAATTGCAAGTAGAGCTGAATTAAAGGTTGAATCTTTTTTGGATAATTCATGAAAATACATTTCCCTGGTTCTTTGTGCTTAGAGAAATGCCTTTTGATTTTATGTCTCTCTTTCTGAACTCTTTTTACTTTGCACAAGAAAAATTTAAGGAGTTATAGTGAAAGAAAACTTCTGAGGGTTTAAAAAGAATTCTAATATTTCATTGTAGCCATCACTTCATGAATCTCTTCTTTGAAATATATGTTTGAAGAAATGCCTAGTTTTGTAGAATGTTCACATGTGTGCTTTTGTGTATGTGTGTAAGTTTGGAAATATGATATGTGTATCTGTGTGTTTGTCTTAGTGTGAATATTTAAGTTGAAATGTGTGAGAGTGAAGATCCATATGTCATGTCATGTTTGTGGATGTCAAAGAATAACCTTGGATATTGGCCCTCTCCACCATCTTGAGACAGGTTCTCTTGCTGTTTATCACTGTGTGTACTAGACTAAATGGCTTGTGAGTGTCTACAGATTTTCCTGTCTTTACGCTCCATGTCATCATCGGAGTTCTGGGATTGGAGATGTATACTATTACATTTGGCTTTATGCAGGTTCTGGGGATCAAGTTTGCGCCACAAATACTTTATCCTCTGAACATTCATTCTTTGCAAACCTGAAATGGACTCATTTTGACAGTTTCTTAGAATGAGCACAGCAAGGTTTATTTGCTTCTAAAGAATCAATTACTGATAGTTCCTCAGGTGTGGCTGGGGACTCAAAGCTCTTCCAGAGTTTCTCCTGAGTAATTGAGTGGCTTGTTCTTGTGGAAGACTTGTGCTGGTCCACAGAGCTGCTGGAAGTTAATGAATGCGATTGCTATGCCATGTCAAAAGAGAACACCCCTACCTCCCCATCCTCCTGTTTTTACACTCTTCATAGAACATCTTTTATGATGTTCTCCTGGGGATGGTTAATGTAGATGTTCCAGTTAAGGCTGAGTATGTACTGACAGTTTCTCTAGCACTTTGATCAGTTATGAGTCTCTGCATTATTTATTGCCCAATGCAAAACAAAAAATGATGCAATATTTCAGCTACGGATGTAATTTCAAACAGTGAAGAATAGAGAACCCAATATTAAAAAAATAAAATTTCTCGCTAAGGAAAGAGCATAGTCACTGACAAGAATGTGCTACTAGGATCCTGAACAAGTGCAAAATATTCATGTGAAAAATGTCCCTTCCTTCTGATGTCACAGTGGGTTTATCTGTGTCTGTCACCCAGCTTGAAGATCAGACCAGTGAGTGTTTGCTTTTCCAATGAGAGCTTGTTTTGTTTTGCCCTCTGGAAGGAAATGTATCTTTACCACTGAGATTTTTATGTATATGTTTATCTTTTCAATTTATTTAGTCATTTCTTTGTTTCATTGAGCTCCATACCTTATATTTTTAAGTAAACATTTAAAAACAACTTTTACAACTGTCTTTTGCCACACTGAGAATGGAACCAGGACCTTGAATATTCTTGACTTTTTCTTTACCATTGAACCGCATCCCGAGTTCTTTTCACAGAAAAAATAAATCTATTACATTCTGAGCTTCTTGATGACGATTTTAACAACTGATCTTTATAATGTGACTGTTTCCCTTTGAAACTTGTATTCAGTTATCTCTTTACTTTTCACACTGTCTATGCTTTGTTGAACAGTTCTAGCTCCTTTGTAGTGCTAAATTTTATCACCTGATAATCTCATGTGTGTATGTAATATATTTTGATTACCTCATCACATGCATTTTTAGCATGCTCCTTCATACCGTCAGCACCCCAACTATCTTAGTTGATTTTTCAAAGATTTCTATATGGAATTTTGCTGAATAGTGATATTTTTCCTAGCTTTTATTTTTTGTAGTTGCTTATTTCAAAGAGATTTGTTTTAGTTTTACTCTGTGTGTGTGTCTGTGTGTGCGCACGCGCACGCACACACTCATATACACAGGTATCCAAGGAAGCCAGATGAGAACATCAGATTTCCTGGAACAGGAGTAACAGCTGTCTGGGAGATTCCAAAATGGGTGTTAGGATCTGAACTGGGATCCTCTGGAAGAGCAGTGAGTGCTCTAACCACTGAGCAATCTCTACATCCCCAGTCATTTCTTATAATTCTCTTAATTTATTTTCTTCATAGCTTTTATATAGAGTGTTCAATCATGTTTAATCCATAATTTCTATTCAACCATATGACATGATTAGTGTCTACACTATATATTTTCAGGGACATTCTCTTTATTCAGTTAAATACTTTTCCAATTAGGATCAAACCTAGAATCTGACATTTATTAAGTAAGGTGTTGTTTCATTCAGCTTCCACCCAAAAAACAAATCATTATTTTTATGTCTAGTTTGAAAAGGTTATTTGAGAACTACCTTCCACTGAATTCTTTTAAAAATTTAATGAAAATAACAACAATGCTTTTCCTTTTGGACTGTGATGATTTTACAGGTAATGTTGAACCCTTTTATACTAACACCCTCATTTTCTCTGTTGTATTTTAACTCACGTTACTCTTCTGATAACACATATTTGATTTGCTAGTATATTTTGTTGATCCTAAAATCCAGTGCTGTGGCTTCAGCCTCTTGTGCCTTACTGAGAGATGTGACGCTCCTATAGTTCTTTGTTTTTCTTGCTACAGAGACCAACTTTACCGATGGCATATGGCAACAACACAAGGATCACAGAGTTCATTTTCATTGGCTTGAGATACCACCCTAAGCTTCAGGTCTTCCTCTTCTTGCTCTTTCTACTGTTTTACCTGGTTACTATGACAGGAAACTTGGGTATGATCATTCTCATTCGTGTAGATTCTCGTCTTCACACCCCCATGTACTTTTTTCTCAGCCACCTGTCATTTGTGGACATCTGCTTCTCATCAGTTGTGGGCCCCAAGATGCTCACAGATTTCTTTGCAGAACGGAAAGTCATCTCTTTCATGGGCTGTGCCTTGCAGCAATGGTTCTTTGGGTTCTTTGTGGCCATCGAGTGCCTTCTCTTGGCATCCATGGCCTACGACCGCTATGTGGCCATCTGTAACCCACTGCTGTACTCAGTGGCCATGTCCCAGAGACTCTGCATACAGCTGGTGATGGGACCGTATGCTGTTGGTTTCTTCAACACCATGACTCACACTACAGCTGCTTTCCGACTTCCCTTTTGCGGCTCCAACATCATCAATCATTTCTTCTGTGACATGTCTCCTATCCTCTCCCTCATATGTGCGGACATACGAATCAATAAACTGCTGGTGTTCATTGTGGCAGGAGCTGTGTTGGTTGTCAGCAGCACCACCATCGTAATCTCCTACTTCCACATCCTCATGGCCATCCTGAGGATCCGCTCTGCTGAAGGGCGGAGGAAAGCCTTCTCCACCTGCTCATCCCATGTCACAGCGGTTTCCATTCTGTATGGGACTCTCTTTTTTATCTATGTGCGGCCAAGCGCCATCTCTTCGCTGGACCTTAATAAGGTGGTGTCTGTGTTCTACACAGCGGTGATTCCAATGCTCAACCCACTCATCTACAGCCTGAGGAATAAGGAGGTGAAAGCGGCCATGGGCAGGACAGTCACCAAGGCCAAAGTTTTCCTTAAAAACTAAATTGTCATCAAGAACAGAATATAGGGGCTGGGCAGTGGTGGCCCACGCCTTTAATCCCAGCATTTGGGAGGCAGAGGCAGGTGGATCTTTGTGAGTTTGAGGCCAGCCTGCTCTACAAGAGCTAGTTCCAGGACAGCTAGGACTGTTACACAGAAGCCCTGGCTTGAAAAACACCCCCCAAAACAACAAAAACAAAACACAAAAATAAAAAAATCCTAAATGCCTAGAAAATAGATTCAAGGCAAAGCTGATAGACATGATCAAATCTACCTACACAATACATCATCCTAACATAATAGTTTGCAGAATTTGTAATTGACATAATTGGCACCTTTTTTATCATTTCACATAGCTTTCTATCTTACTACATAAAATACATTTTATTTTATTAAATAAAATAATTAAGCTTTATTTAATCATGTAACTACGAATGAATGCTAAAACTCCCTATGTAAGTGTGTTTTCTCTCTTAAATATGTTTATTACTGTAAGTAAAGTAAAATCTAATAAATACAGTACCAATAGATATGAGCGGTACACTGTAGAATGTACGTCCCTATTTCCTACATATAAAATCGAAAATAAGAGGCAGAAGGCTTCGCTTAGAGTGAAAGTAATTTCAACTAAATTTTTTCTCACTTATTTAATTTTCTTCCTGTATAATTTATTTTCACACTAGCTTTTTTTGTTTACACATCAAAGCAAAACAAACAATAGTTGATAAAGTTTATAGACAACTTTACTAACTTTCTGCCAACTTGAAAACGTTAAAGAGTTAAAAAAACAAGGAAGGATCTATATTTAATCAAAATGTCTTAGATGTTTGTATGAAATGTTCAAAGAATAAAAAATTCTGCTTACTTTAAAAAGATAAGATTTTACTTGAAAGTGACTTTATGAAAAAAAATCAGAATCTACCATGATTTTTAATTATGCTGGTTGTATATGGTATAAAATATAATTATTTCAGTTATTTGCCTCTTTACAAGATCTATAACTGAGGAGATAAAAACAGGTGAAGCATGCTGTAGTGATACAAGGAAAAACCAGACTGCGGATCTATCTCAAGCCCTGCTCAAAAGGATTTCGCAATGTTGTCTCTGGGTTACAACGTGCCTGGTCAGGAGACCCTGATGTCAAAGAGCATCATGGTCCAGCATGGCTGATTTGAATATGCTGGTGTAAAACAACATCGTGATCCAGCATGCCTGGTCAGCAGACCCTGATGGAAAACAGCATCATGGTTCAGCATCCTAGTCAGAAGACCCTGATGGAAAACAGCATCGTGGTCCAGCATGCCTGGTCAGGAGACTCTGACGGAAAAGAGCTCATGGTGCAGCATGCCTGGTCTGGAGACCTTGATGTAAAACAGCATCATGGTCCTCTTTTCTTCAGAACACAGTCAGACTTGCTTCAAGTGTTGGGGTCACTCTAAATACAGCACTTTGTCATGATTGAGGATAGACTGCTTTGGGTTTAGACGGGTTCCTCAGGTTCTCTCAGGAGCTGCAGATCCAGACAGGTCAGAGGACACATAAACAAGACTGTATGCTGCAATTGTCTCAGAATGAAAGCCTGGATTCTGAGCCAAGTTGGTAAGGAAACAGAAACAGTGCCAATAGGGGAACATAAAATGGACTCATATTGTAGCTCAGAAAGTTCTTCCATTTAACTCATGCAATTTATTTTTTTAAACAATTAGTTGGAGGCTAGGATGAGCAATCTCAGATATGAGTGTGCTTGCTACTTTTAGTAAAAAAAAAAAAGAGTGACTGCTTGTCCTCCTAAAAACAAAAGTTATCCAAACTTGGTCTGTACTTGATAGCAAGGTTCTTTGAATCTGTGATTTTTATTAGAATTCCTGTCAATCATGGTACACTCTCCTGTGTCACTGGTACATCCCTCTGACACTTAGTCACAGTGCTGGGCAAGCTTCAACTCTATGCTTACTGTCTTCCCACTTTCTCCATCTCTTAACTCGTCTGCCACTGAAAATTCTGGTACCCAATGCAATGTCTTTAATTCTATGAAATGATAAAATAGCATGAGAGAGTCTTATATTTCCACCCTCTAGTTTGTGATTCTTTAATTGTGTAGTTAGCCTGGTGTTTTAACTGTTTGATTTTTATTTTTTAAAACTGAGAATCCTTTCAGTCTCCTCCCCTTGCAGTTATGATAAAAATCCATCCTGTATGGTGATCAAGTTTATACTTTTTTATTAGGTACAGTAAGGTTTTTTGGCTTTTACAAACATGACTATTTTGAACTAGGATGTCTCTGATAGCAAGTCCTGCTAACAGTAGGACTGCCTAAAGAGAAGAGGACCTAGATACACTTCAGACTAGTCAATAGAATAAAAATTGCTTATAGAGCTGGGAAGATGGCTCAGTGGATACAGTTAGGACTTGAGTTCAGAGCCCCAGAACTCATGTAAAATTGGTGAAGAATTTCACATCTGTGAAGCCAGCTTCCTTGGGAGGTGGAGACAGGAGAACCTTCCACAAGTTTGTAGCTCAGTTACTCTGCCAGCAACAATGGGGAACAATATGCGATTCTATCTCAAACAAGAAGGAAAATGCAAGCTGATGATTGAGGCTCGCTTCTAACCTTCACACATGTACCTAAGCTTGAACATACACATGCACGTACACGCACATGTACACACACACACACACACACACACACACACACACACGTACAGACAAAACGTGTAGGGGACTCTTAGAAGAACTTTCAGGAAAAGCAAACACACCTGCAATGTTCCCATGGTTCCAGGTTACTCAGTGTTTCTGAGTCGCAGGCAAAGGAATAGCTATTTAGGCAGGATTTGTGTTTCTACCTCATTTGTCACCATTGCTATTCCTTCCTTTCCTTGGGTAAGAAAAATAACTGTTTACACCCTGTGCTCTGCATTCTGCTTTCAAGTTACACACTCTTCCACAAGCCTCCATCACTCAATATCTGTACCAAATTAAAGACAGGGTTTCTCTGTAGCTTTGGAGCCTGTCCTGGAACTCACTCTGTAGACCAGGCTGGCCTCGAACTCACAGAGGTCCTTCTGCCTCTGTCTCCCTAGTGCTGGGATTAAAGGACTATGCCACCACCTCCCAGTGGCAACTGAATATCTATCTGATCACAGAGTTTGATGTTATAAAGTACATTCATATACTGATTTTATTTTTCTATGATTTAAATGAGGAAATATACAATGTTATTTAACTAAAACCCTCAAATAAAAAAAGAAATAAAACAAAAGCTTCTTTGTTAACTTGTTCAACAGTCAATCATATTCCCACATCGGTTACTGGTACTGAAGCTCAGGTCAGGACTCATGTTTACTGGGGTGACTGGGGTGGCATTGGGGCATGACTGGTTCAACCAGTAAGGGTATTGGGTTACTCCAAGTCTCCACTATGATCCTATGACGGTATATCACTGTTTCTGCAGAGGCCCAAAAATGTGAGTCTGTTTCCATGTTGACCAAAGGTCAGAGAGTTGGTCAGACGTCTATTCCTTCAAGGTTATTGTGCTTCTTCCTCAAACAGAAGTCCCACCTAGATTTAGGTCAGAGTTCTGCTCTCTCAAGGTTATTGTCCACAGGTGCGGCTAATAGCCAGGCCTTGTACTTCAGGAAAAGTGAAGTAGATTTTCACCTACCTCAAACAAAGTATGTGGATCCAACAAAGTTTCAGTTCCCTTAGAGATAACTTTAGAATCCACCTGGGATTTACAGAATGTATAGGGTGTGAGCATGACTTGTTTTGTTGTAGCAACAGAATGCTGATGTAGCCTGCAACCTTCAGTTTGTCTGTTCATTTCGTTTTATCATTTTAATTCAGTTTTTGTCTTACTCCCACCTTTTGGTGTTAGGGGTATTTAAAGCAATTGGAAATTAAAGGCAAGTGATTTTCAGTATTCACTGGAATTCCCTCTTGATACTATCCTATATGCTTCTCCGTTTTATTATTTTCATATATATGTGTCTTCATATTCTTTACTATATGTCTAAATCCCTATACGTCTACCCTGGCAAGAGCTAGTTTTGCTAAGGCTGGTCCTCTGACACCCCTGGGAAGCTGTGAAAATGAGAGACACAGAAGAAACAAGTTTTTAGGTTTTGTTCATTTCCTAATACATGGGTGTGGGGGACACTGCCCTTATGAGATGTACCATCATGATAATAAGACAAAGAATCACCAGGAAAGACAGATGCCAACTGTACTACATTTAACTCTGTAGTATAAATATATATGGACGAATCCCAATGTCCACTATTAAAATTTTTACTTAAAATCTCAGTTTTAGCTATAAATATAAGTACCTGCAGCCAACGTACATGACTACACTTCCCAGTCTCCCTTTAGGTTTAGGCTATTACACTGCGATCACTACTAACCAATGACAACCCTTTGGTGGAAGATGAGTGACATAGTTATCAGTCTCCTGTTGTTGCCGGGTGACCAAGTACACGTGATATACACCAGTGGAAGATTTGTGGGTGCTCCTGGGAAATTCTAGATTTTCACGCCAATGTTTCTATCCCTGACATATTTAAATTATACAGGGTGGGAACTCTTGGCTGGAACTTGTGTGATCATTTTGATTATAGCAACCGAGTCCTTTGTCTTATAAGCGTCTTGCATCCATCATCTGTGATGTTTCTATAGCTTTAGGTTAATAAATACTCTTTTAACATGTCTTTATATCCTGGATTTTTTTTTTTTTTACCAACTTAGTTTTAGACACTAGTTGTATTTTAGAATGTGAGAGTCAAACTTTTCTCATAATAGGGTATTCACAACATGAACCATTTCATGGAAGTAATGAGAAACCCCTTTTTTTTTTTATCTCCCTGTATCTTTTAAGTCATCACCTGCTTGAGAAGTATCATGTGTGTTCAATAAAGGCCTTCATTTTGAGTAGCCATTTCTCACTATGCTATTGCAGCATCTGACCATTAGATGGCAGCATCAGCATAGAAACAACATTTAAAGCGGCCTG